TTTTATTTAGTCGAGCATTATGTTATATGACAGCATGTAGAAGTGGTATTAGTCAAAATGAACTTGAAGATGTTCTTTCACTTGATGATGATGTACTTAAAAGTGTTTTTGAACATTATATACCACCTGTTCGACGTTTACCAGGAATTTTATGGACACGAATTCGAAATGATTTAGATGAATATATTACTGAAAAAGAAGTTGATGATGCACCTGTTATTTATTGGTATGGATTTTATTTTTGAAATTCTTATAGGAAGTTTTTCAAGAACATTAGAGATTTTTATTTATTTTTTTCGAAAGATACAAATTTGTTAAATACAAATGATTAGATTTCCAGAAAAAACATCCTATACGCAATAATCTTATGTGTTAATGTTAGCTTGCTTTGTCTCAAGATGATGTTGAAAAAAAAAACAGGCATTGATGCACTGTAGATCAGGTTTGCCGTAAATTCAAAGAATTGTGCAAAAAATCAAGAACACAAAGAAAGTAAAAAAGGCAAAATTTCTGAGAAATAGGAAATGTAAGATGATCTAGTTTCTATTAGTTACAATAGGTCTGTTCGATACATTGTAGAAAAATATACAAAGAATCGATCAAACCTTTAAGAAAAAGCTTTTTAATAAGAAGAGTTACAAAATAAATCATTATTTTAATTATCATCGCATGTTATTGAATATTGCGACTTATTACAAATTTTTCAATCGATTCTGTGTTTAGGAAGTCAACTATTTTTATCTGAATGCATGCAAGAATTTCATATAGATTTATTTTCAATTACTTTCTTGTTCATTGCTCTCTTTTTTTTAAAATTAGATCATGATCGCCACAAAAATAATGAAACATATTTTATCTTAGATTATTAGAAATGCAATGAATCTTCTGGTCTCGATCTCACTCACTCTTGATTGTGATGAGGAGAGAACAGTTCTTTTTCCGTTACTCAGTAGGGAATAATGAAAAGTTTGTCGCTGTTATTTTGTACTGAAGAAAAGTCTAATTTACGATACTAACGAAATTATGTAAAACTTGTTTAGACCGTGGGAAAATAGTCTTTCTTCCCGAATAACTTTGTCTATGATCAATCTTTATAAAAAACTGTTATTTACCTAAGCTAGGTCTTCTTGAACCAAAAACTCAATCTCACAAGCTTTTCATTCTCTGTTGCTTGGAAAGATAACAATAATTGACTATCTCCCTATTGACAGGGAAGTATCCAAGCTTTGGAGCCTATCATAATATCCACTCTATTCATTGAGATCTATTTTCCTCGAAATGTCTTAGAAGTTTTTGAGTATTCATTCTACAGAAATTTCGGAAAGAATGAATTCCTTGAAAACTAATACTGATACAACGAATGAATAAGACCGACACGCTTAATCTCAGTACATTTCTATAGATCATAATAAACGTACAGATTTTACAATCATTCAATAATGAATAGATAGACATTGAACTCTGCTCTAACTGGGTATTCGGAAAAAAACGGTTCAGTTTGAAAACTATCCAACCAAGTCGGACAATGTTGGGTATTTGTCTAAGCGTTTCTTCGGTATATGGACAATCTTGAAAGCACCCTAAGAGTCAGTACTTTCGGACCATGTATTTGGTTTTGTATGTTGGTCTTTGTCACTGTCTTATACTACTAGTCTTGTTCTTATTTGAATTTTTGCAAGAATAGTAACGAATATAACATCCTCTTTGGTATAATTTTTCTTTTATAGGTATCATCGTCGATTTATTGAAGTAGCGCGAGAATTATACATATCAAATTTAACTGATACAGATCGAAAAATAATTTTTCAGAATGTTGTTGATTTGTTTAAAGAAACATGGAAAGGAAAAAATAAACCATTTAAAATTGATGATCCTAAATTAGTTAATAAATATAAATTAGATGAATCAGCTGGTGAAATTCAAGCAAACCGTTTTACAACATCACAACCTGTTGAATTTATTGATGTTGATGGTCGAATACAATATAATAAACGAAAATTAAACGAATTACCTCAATTTTTAAGTAAATTAGCACCTGATATAGCAGTTCCAATTGCAGCTGAAGAAATCCTTTTTAATTATTCATTTATGCGTATGTTTTTAATATGTTCATAATTAGAAAAGCTAAGTAAAATATGATTTTTCTTTTTAGATGCTAAATTTAGTTGTTCATCATTTCTTGATATTCAAAATGATATTGATCAGTTTGAAAATATATCATCTTATAAATCATCCGATGAAGTTCGAATGGCTCAAAAAGAACTTTCAATTCTTCGAATGGCTTATTTATTATTTGGTCTTTTACTTAATGAATATCCAGATAATTATGCATTTGAATTAACATCACGTTTAGTAATATTATATGGTTTAAAAACTAATATAACTAATTTATTAAAACAATGTGATGAACAAAGTCCACGTCATTGTGCACTTATTGTACCATATTGTCAAATACAACCACCAGGAAATGGTTTACTCTATTCAATGAATAAACATACAATGCCTGTCGTTGATTTAGATTTCACAAATAATCAAATGGCAGTTATATCATTATCAAATAAAATAATTGTTTTTAATATGGGCACATTTAATACAGCAGTAGACATTAAATTACCTAAATTAAATGAACCTTATTTAAATTCGACAACACTACCAAAAATGATTATTCGTCATACAAAGGAAGATAATACTAATAATGATTCCGATGATTCTGATAATTCTTCGGATTCAGACAATGATGAAGAAAAATTTAAACAATATGTTTTTTTTGTTAATTCATTTCATCATGTTTATCTTGTATCAAGTCATGGTGATATTAAATTTCATCGAACATCAATAAAAGGATATTCAACTGTTGAAATAATTAATAATAAACGTGGTTTATGTATACTTGTTGAAAAAAATTCTAATACTGTTGAATGTTGGAGTTTAGGAGAAAATAAATTATTTTCTAAAATTGATTTATCATTAACATCATCAATTAAAACAGTTTTACATTCTAAATTAAGTTCATCATTAATTAGTATTGTTCTTTATGATGG